TTGGTTGTTGGGGGGGGGGGGGTATGCTTATTCTTTAAAGATATTTCCTGAAAATTCAAGAGTGTAAATGTGCATGCCTAAAGTCAAATTATAGGAAGAAAATCTGAAAAGTTTTCTACTTTTCTTTGTAAAAATTGACAAGAGCAAAGGACATAGACTATGATAAATATGATGCTACATCCATATTAGAGGAAATTGTGTATAGGGGTAAAACTTTCACATTATCTTAATATTGGTTATCATCATTGTTAATTGTCATTTTTTTTCCCTCTTAGGACACAATGCTTTATTGTAAAGTTTTTGGTAAAATAATTTCAAGCTTACTCAGGAAAGATGAAACTCTTATTTTTGTCTTCTAAAGATATATTTAATATTCGTAAGGGGGGAGAAGAAGCTAGTTTCTGAGATAATCTTGCATCGAACCTATCACTCTACTCCCATTTAAGATTAGGTTTAAGTTTGGGTGAGGATAGAAAAGGAATTCATGAAGAAAACAGTGAACTGTTAAAGTTCACTGAATATTTCAGAAGAAAAACACTATTTAGACTTCAGTTTGAATATGTTTTCAGCCAATCTTATGAGTATACACTTCCTGAAAATTTACTGAGCATTTAACACACTCTTTGGTTTGGAGTGAAAGAAAAATCCTGAAATAGGAATTTGATCCAGTACCCTCAATGTCAAGGTCAAGACTGGAATGTCTGGGGTAGGAGTTGTATGGTATACTGACCAGGTTACCTGCTCATCATTTGTGAAGTCATCCCAATCTCTGTTCATGGCATTCAGGCCTTTGCCTTCTCTACTGGTGGAGGAAAGTGCAAAAAAAAAAAAAAAAAACCCTTCTCCACAAACAAAAAAATCATACCCAAAGCAATTTGTAATTAGAAGCTATGAATAATTAACTGTCTGTTGATAAACATCAATAGATAACTTAAAATAGACTGCTTCAACTGTATCCAGGGAATCAAAATTTCTTTTAATCATCAGTTCTGAGCATTTCAATTTAAGGTTAATTTATTTAAACATTTAAAAATTCAGGCACTAAATACAAAAATGTTATAACATAAATAAGATGTGCCAAGACTTTATTTCTTTAAAAATAACAATAAACAAAATTCTAGAATTCAAAATGATTATGTATAATACCAAATTGACTGCCACCAAAAAACCTAGATCATTGCCCCTTCAAGAGAAGGAGGGTATTCATTACATTTCTAAATTCTTTACAATTCCTTATCTCCACCATTCTATTTACTGATTTGCAAGCTGGTTATTCATGCAGAGATTGGGCTCTCAATATTAAACAGCCCCCTAAGTTAGTAAAAGAAGTCTTAATTCTTTACCCACTCCAACCCCCCCAAATAGTAAGCAGTTTGTTTTTCATATAACTGTAAAAACTGTTTTTCCAAATGAGTTGCTTCACTAAAGATTGAATGGATTGTTAATATTTTATTACAAAGCAAACAACCATTTTTCATTGTTATTGATTTTAATGGAAACAATGCTCTTAACATCTTTGCCTACAAACCATGAACTTTAAAAATACACATTTTGCAAATGAATTTTCTTTCCATAATATAATTTCAGAACTGCTGCAGTTATTATACCACTATAAAAAGGTTATGAATAATTGTGAAAATTATGAATTGAACTATATACAGCAAAACAAATCAGACTTTGCCTTCCCAAATTTTAAATGGACTATGGTTTATTTTTTAAGAAGCACTTTAACCATAAGTAAGCAGGCTCAACTGGCCTTACTCATCACCACTGTTTCAGACATGCTTACTTTTGAAAATATATAGATACCTCGGTAGATGTGATAGGCAGATTAGGTAAGTCATAGATACAAACATATATAGGTATATGGGTAATCTCGCAATAGAATAGAAGGACATGCATCCTGCTGAGATGTTCATTTTTATGTAAGGTAATAAAAAAGTAAGGGACATAAAACTCATTAGGTTACCTCATGTTTATATATGTAGGGCAGGGATGATTAAATCCAGCTTCTCAGTCTTTGAAGTATAAGATTGAGATGTCATGGCCACTAACTGAATTGATCAGTAATATTTGATTTGCATGCCAAAAATTGGGGACAAGCACATTTAAACTCGCAGTTAAAGAACCATCTGAGCTAGAGATAAAGAAAGGAGGATCTTACCAGATGGAAAATGACACTGTAAATAATCCATACCACAGTAGAAAAATAATATAACAATTAAAAAAGGGATCTGAGTTATAAATACCAACAGACAAGATTCATTTGCTCGCATCTCCTCTTTTTAGGAGGCTGTTACAAAACAAGAGAAAGGAGTCAGTGGTTCAAAAATTGTAAATTTTGTTCTTTCAAAACAATAAAATTTAATGCTAAAGCAGTTATAATCAAAAGCTGTACAGAATTTGTTAGAAAACACTTATCCATAAATATTGTTCAGTTCCCGGCACTTGTAGCAATAATTAAATTACAACGATAAATATGGCATCAATGGGTATGTATTTACAAAAAAAAAAGTTATTACAAAAGGCAACTGTATACTAAATGTCACAATCTGTGTAGAGTAACATCACATCCTCATCCTGAAAAAACACTGACCAACAGTTTTGACCCCATTAGACAAAAATACATTCACAAGAGTAATGCTTTGAGAAAAAGTTCAAGACATAACAGGACTTTGGCACGGTTTAAGACTGTGAGAGTTTAAACAATCACCACTAAGGCGAAGAATCGGCTTAACATCACCACCACCAAGCCTTCTATAACTTCCTCTCAAAAAACAAGACAAGTGTTAAAATGAACTGAAGGAGTTTAGGGATGGGGTATGCAGACAGCATGAGAAAGGGGAGAAAAAGCAGTGAAAATATTTTTTTTCATCTTTCAAATGCCAAAACATGTTTCCTAATCCTGAGAAAGGGCATGCCTACTTTTGGATCTTACCCAGAAACCTTCCTAGACAATTACAATGAACAAGATGTAGCCCTATATATGGCCTCTTGCCTTAAAACTCCATTTCCATTTGATTGGCCTCAGTTTTCTTTTTAAAATGCATTTGGTCCATTTTATGGTTAACAGGGTTTGTGTTTGTCCTCAGACGTACCATTCGTTAAAATTGGGAGGAAGTCCAGGGTTGTGGCTGGTGCTAGTTTGAACTGCAGAAGGGGGTTTAGTGGTATCTTTACTGTTTGCAGAAGCTATAGCGGGTGGAGTGGAAGATTCATAGCCTGAACTGGCAGCAGGGGAGGAATCTGACCCTTGAGATTCATGAACCTAAAATTAACATGTATATATTATAATGAATATAATTCCAACCGGCATTGTGCAAGTATATACAAGACCAGAATTCAAGCACAGTACGAGCAAGACCGCCCAGTGTCCCACTTAAAAGAGAAACGCTGCTGATTTTGTTGGCTTGATTTTAATTTCTATATTACCGATGTCTAGAAACCCCGGAGTTGCTCACCAACACTTTTATTCCTAATATTGGCATGTGGAAAAGGGACAAAGCGCTGTATTATTCATACTCCTTCAAAGGTGCTTTCTCCGCGGATGGAGTGGGATAAGCACTTGGTCTTTGGGGCCACATAAAATACTCCGGGCGCAGATTTCACCAAGCCCAGTTTGGCTTGGGAAAGCAGGTACAGAGAAAGGTGGCTCAGGCGCCCTAGGCGCTGCAAGGTCTCAGACAACTTCATGGAAATCAGACCTCGCTTCTGGGCACTATTGTTTTATGGAAAGCCGGAGAGCCAATGAACCACCCACCCCCGGGTTCGGCGCCGGCACTCTAGTTTCCCACTGCGGGCTGAGCCGGGAAGAGGCGACCGCCGCAACCTCAAGCCCTGGCGAGCTCGTTTAGAGCTTCCCAGTAAAAAAAAGCTGCCCCCCTCCCTCCCCCTCCCCACATTTCTCTCCCCCGCCCCCTCCAGGTTCCTAAAAATGGGTTCAAGGTGTCACCGCTGGAGCAAATGGGATTTAACGTGGAGGATACAGGGTTGGCATCGCGGGCGCTTCCATTCCGCGGCCGGGTATCGGGCCTAGTGTTTATAAACCACCGACCGCTAATAAAGAGGTAATTACCTTCATGTGCTTTCGCAGGGAGCTAGGGTGCGTGTAGGACTTGTCGCACACTTTGCAGATATAGGGCTTGTCCGAGGTGTGCACGTGCATGTGCTTCTTGCGGTCGCTGCTGTTGGCAAAGCGCCTGTCACATCCTTCAAATTCACATTTGAAAGGTTTCTCACCTGCAAAAGGTAAAAATGCAAAGGGGGGGAAATATGGTCAGGGCCTGGAGCTTCCTGGAGCGGAGCAGCGGGAGACGGAGCGCCCCGCGATCTTCCAGGAGAGGGAGCGGCTGTAGCATCTCTTTTCCCTGGAGAAAAACGGAGAGTGCTGGTTAAGCCTACTGGTTTGGGAGTGGTGCGCGGGGTGGGGCAGGGCTGGCCCAGAACTTGCGGATCCCTTTGTTCTCGCTCAGGATAGGAAATCACCAGGCTCCTCCAAAGTTTCCCCCTAAGTTGTGGTTCCACCCTACCCAGCCCAGGGTTCCCAACGCGCAGCCACATTCTGCCACTGCCTAGTGGATGTAACCAATCCCGGGCGGCACAATGAACCGGGACGGACAATCCCATTTAGTTCCTTCTTTGTACCTGTTAATTTGCCTTTTTCAAATGCAGCGATTTTGCTAAACTCAGTATTAAAAAGCTTGGTTCGTCGTACTTAACGTTCAAAAAGAAAACTATATAAATCCAGGGACTCCAGACAGTTTACAAGATGTTCTGAGCAAGCCACGAAACTGTGATGCCTTTTCTACGTTAGCTTTCCTCCCGTAGGACTGAATTGAACCTGGAACTCCAAATAAAAATAGTTTGACAAAAGTATCAGTCATTTAATTAGGAGATGTGCCAATCACGGGTAAAAAAGAGCGGAAGTAACCGAAAGTTAGCTTTCATTAGCATTTCTATGGTTGCTTTTCCCAAATGTGTGCCGAAAGCTAAATCGCTTGTAAGCAATAGGCTCTCAACACATTCGTAGTCCCTTCCTAGTAACCCAGAAAGGGAGACAAAAAGAGGCGGCGCCAGTTTGTCCCTGGACGGGAGAAGGTTCCAATTAGTTCCAAAGACCAGAGTCCTCAGCCCGGGAAGTTAGAAGTAGGCAAAAGCGCCGCGGGGCGTGAAAGGCGGGCGAGAGATGGAGGGACACTGACAATCCTTCCTTTCCCAAAGACCCTGGAGGGGCGCCGCCCCTCTATCTGGCCATCACCCCTCTCGCTGTACATCGGCTCCATGGCACAGTGTAGCGATGAATCCCGCGTCCGCCTCCCTTTATCCTTACCTGTATGGGTCCTCTTGTGGATCTTGAGGTTCTCGGAGCGGGCAAAGATTTTTCCGCAGCCTGGGAAGGGGCATGGGAAGGGCTTCTCGCCCGTGTGCACTCGAATGTGGTTGACCAGTTTGTACTTCGCCTTGAAGGACTTGCCCTCGCGGGGACACTCCTCCCAGTAGCAGACGTGGTTGTTCTGCTCCGGGCCCCCCACATGCTCCATGGTGACATGTGTCACCAGCTCGTGCATGGTGCTGAAGGTCCGGTCGCAGCTCTTCTTGGGCCGGTTTAGCTGAGCTTCGTCGACCCACTTGCACGACAGCTCCTGCTTGATGGGCTGCCGCATATAACGGAAGAAGGCGCCAGGCCCGTGGTGGGCCGCCACGTTCACGCCCATGTTCATGTTCATGGGGCTGTAGTTAGGGAACTGCGCGCCGGCCGTGTAGGGGTCCGTGCGCGGGCTGGCTACCGTGCGGTACGGGTCCGCACGGCCAAACAGCTCCCCTCGCAGCCCTAGGTGGACCTGATTGTTGTCCATGTGCCCGGTAGGCGACGGGTGCCCGGTGGTCTGCTCATGCAGCCCAGGGAAGAGCAGGTAACTTGATGGTTCGGGAATGCCAGCTGGAGCGTGCAGACCGCTCGCGGAACCAGCGAAGAGCGCGTGCTGCCCGCCACCCGAGGCAGCCTCACAGAGCCCGGAGCTGCGCTGGCGGAACAGAAAGTCACGCGTGGAATTGAAGGCGGCGGAGGCGGCACCGCCATAGCTGGGCACCTGGCTGGTGTGGTGATGGTGGTGGTGGTGGTGGTGGTGGTGATGGCCCAGGGCGTTGGCGTAACCCGAACCCTGTGGCATGAATGCAGAACTCTGGCCAGAAG